AATATCTCATAGACTCGTCCCTCAATATCTCCCAGTGCTGGGGTTAAAGGTCAATCAGTCCAGACTTTATACATAAAATTCAGTTTGGAGGAGTCAGCCTGTTAAAACAGGAAATCTTAAAATACCTGCGTTGTATGGTGGCCCAGGGGCTCAGTGCAGTGCAGCTGCAAGTAGACAAAACACAAGCTATAAATAAGGAAATGTTTTCACCAATTTTTCAGAAATGAGAAATGTGCTGCAACATAATAAAACAACCAAATACAGAAACACTGTATCTTCTCACTTTGCTGTGCACGTGTTGTTAAACTGTAGAGTTACTGTGGAGGTAGATTTCAATATTATTTGTGTGAACAGATCGACCACCTTCAACACCTTCCACAAATACAAAAAATAAATTTACAACTTCACAAAATGTAAATGCAATGGACTGTGGGTGCTGTTTGCATACATATTGTATTTAAATATTGTCACTGTAGAACAGGTTGTATTTGAAAATGAATAGTCAACAGCTTTTCAATTTTAATATGGTCATAAAACACCCATAAGTATCTGAAAATGAAAATGCAAATTGCATTACTACATCTTGGACAATACCGACCACCCTCTCCTCAACATTCTGGCAGGACAGAGAAGATGCTGTATAACACCTCAGCCAAAAAAAAGTATGAATAAAAATAATTATTTTATTTTATTATTATTTATTATTTAAAAGTCATAGTATAGTAAGATATAAAGAAGTCATAGTTTAGTAAGGCATAAAAAGTCATAGTATAGTAAGATATAAAAAAGTCATAGTATATTAAGGCATAAATGGAATAAATAGTAATAGTATAGTGAGATATTAGAGTTGCCAATTAAATGTGCATGTCTTTTGATTGAGGTAGCTGGAGTACCTGGAGAGAACCCACACAGGCACAGAGAGAACATGCAAACTCTACACAGAAAGGCCCCAGGCCCAGGCTTCTAACCCAGAACCTTCTCCCTGTGAGGCGACAGTTCTAACCACTGCACCGTAACGTACCGTACCGTACCGTACCGTACCGTACCGTACCGTACCGTGTACCACATTCATCATCATCACACAGTGCATAAAATCCAGTATTTAAGAAGATAGAATATGCAATCAAGTTGCATTGTGGAAAGCGTAGGATTACGTTACACTTTAGTATCTGAAATCTGCTTTTACTCATTTTTTCATTTATGAACAAAAAAGATTAAAGAACTAGAGTCTTTGCTGGTTTCACCACTGGATGGCGCCAAAGTTTAAACATTTTGAATTCTACATACGCTCGCTGTACTGAGGAAAAAACTATTATGTTGGTCAAAATTTTGATGGCATATTTAATAATAGTAATAATGATCGATCTAAACAAACTCATAACTAATCAATGTTACTCACTGATAGTGATGTAATGTACTAGTGCTGTGTTTTTCTTTACGTGCGAATGACAGATCTTTCCTTTTAAAGCACCAATTTGTAACTTTTCAGAGGTTCAAACTGCAGTAAACACGACACAGCAGGTAGTGCAGTGTTTGAATGTCATCACCTGACCAGGTAATGTGGGTACAAATGTTTTAGTTTCTGTAGGGTTCATCAACTTAAATTCTTTAATATCACATGGAATTCAGTTACCTGTAGTAAATATAAAAGAATAATGTAAAACCAGAAAACATGATATGGCTTAGAATTAATTATCATTATATTATATTTTTCTAGTATCTCTCAGTTTTTTATAACATCCTCTAATGATAAAAGCTTGAACCCAGATAAACAGCAGGAAATGGATAAATACAATGACTAATTAAAATTAAATTTAAGTTTTTGCTGAAATCTTCATTTGCCTGTTATCACACAAGACATTGATGATGATCTTCTTCTCTGATGCACGGTGCAGTGACAGTGTGTGGTACGGGTCTGATGACGGTGGCGACTGAAACTCCACAAAAATGGATTAAAATAAACCGCCTCCTGCAGAACAATCCTGCTTTTAGTTTATAGATGTAATGTCTCTTAACAGCCCACAATCCGATAAAGGAACTGAACTGAATGTTTTTTAGGAATGATCCCGATACCTCGTACTTAAAGTGATGATGTTGGGGAAACAGTTTTTAGTTTTGAGCTGCCTCTCTCTACTGTGAAGAGTTGAACATACGCTCTGCACGCGAGGAAGCAGGTCCAAACCCTGATGACAAATGAAATGCATCCATATGATGTTACAAAACTCAGGCGTAGAGCTGCTGAGTCATGCCTCTGTCAGACAAACCCCTGAAGGGGCCCAGGAGAAACCCCCCCCCACCACCACCACCTCTTCTACAGAGGGAAACCTCTAAAACTGAGAGTGTTGTTTGGTGTCGTTTAGTCGTAATTGGTTTGAAGAAAATTGATCAGTCAACAATAGAAAAACCTTTAGCTGCTACAAATACAATATCTGGACATGCAACAATCTTTTAAGTTAATAAAATAAAAAGTAGCATTAACATTTGGAGAAAGGCTCGTTGCTGCAGGTTGTATTTACGTGTGTTGGTGATGTGTGATGTGAAGAATGAGGCAGTCGTCGCTGTCACATACAGCAGAGATTTATTTTCTTTGATTAAAAAGTCTTTGAAGTGAACACAGTACATAAAGTGACAATGATGGTGAAGGGGCCAAAGAACAGGCCGCCCTTCACAACAAGGCCACGAAAACAACATTAGAGCCGTTTTTTTAGCGCTCAATTTCCCTCCAACACATGCACGCACACACATGCACGCACACACAACTCCAGTCATCACATTACACCAGTTAAAACCCAAAATCTGTTTGGGGAAATTATGCTGCACTAAGATGCAAAAAAAAAGAAAAGAAAACCCCACAAGAATAGACACACACACACACACACACACACGCACACACACACACACACACACACACACACACACACACACACACGCACACTACATTTGCGTCTCATGGAAATTCTAATTCTCTGTTTGTTTTGAGTCTGCAGCTCAGCGTCACTGTGGAGTCGTTTTTTGGTTTCAATGGAGAGGCGGGTTGGCACATACAGGCAGAGCCTTGCACAGGACTACTTAATAATAATTATTATTATAGCAATAATAATAATAATAATGATGATAAAACGTTGAAAAATTATATGAAAAAATGGGAATATTGGTGTGTCTGCATTCAGGTCATCTTTCCACTGATTTTGCACCAAACGTTTGATGCAGTTTGAGATTGAAAGTCTTTGTTTTTGTTTGTTGTGATAACACAAACGTCATGGTGTCGGTTCAGGTTTTAAATCAGCAAACAAAGAAGCTCTGAATTAAAGGAAAGGATGTGACAGTAAGTTTTCAAACTGAGGTTTTTGAGCTGTGACAGAGTGTTAAAGTGTCAATCACAAAAAACATGATCAGACGTGTGAGCAGGTTTTAAACAAAGGGGTTTGTTGTAGAGGAAAACCTAAAAAGTCCTGGGCTGCAAATAACAGTTAATGTCCATCAGTTATAGTTAATTCAATTAATTCTTTTTCTCAATGAATCAATTTGTTGTTTAGTCTGGAAAATGTCAGAAATAAGTGAAAAAGGCTCATCACAGTTTCCCAGAGCCCGAAGTGATGTCGTCAAACAGTCTGCAACCTGAAGATGTTTCATCTAAAATAATACAAAACAGTAAATCCTCATATTTCAGAAGCTGAGATCTGAAAATGTTCTACCAGCTTCTGAAACTCAGTGAAAAAGTTAACGTGTTCCTTGAGTCTATTTTCAATATTCTGAGATAAGTCTCAGTCCACCACAGCAGCTGCTATAAGGAATTGAACCTTCATGATTTACTTTGTTAGCGCAGAAAAAACTACAGTTCCCATGAAAGAACTGAAAGTGCAGCGTCACTTGATCTCACCAACGTTCTCTTCTGTCGAGCTGTGACGAACATCTAGGGTTTATGGGAAATGGTGTTTGTTAAAGGCAGATTTAAAAAAAAAAAAAAAATACATATTGATATAAAAAAAAATCGTTCTCAACTAAAAATATGAAGCGAGTCACAGGACAAACACAGACCAAACACAGAGGACGGGTCCTTCAGTAATAATAAGGGTTGGGCTCCATTTTAGATCTGGTTTCCTGTCAGCAAAATATCAGGATTCATTAAAGCTCCGACCCTGATGAATCTTTAATTGAACCTTTTATCTCTCCTCACTGTGTTTTAACAACTACTGCATGTAAATTATCCCGGCCTTTCATTTTAAATGCAGAAACCCTGACAGTCAGCATCCAGTAAACTTCATTACACAGTCGCCGCTGTTCCCCTGCCAAATGGCTTGAAAGTGACTTTTAATGGGTCGTGCTTCAGTCACTGTTTCACACTTGTTTCGTCGTCTGACAACAGAAACAGAAAAACGCGTGAATGAGAACGGCTTTATTGGGAATTCAGCCGCGTTATATATATATAGCTGTATATGTGAGCACAGAGTGGAGCGGGGGAGAGAACAGGTAAAGGGCTGAAACTGGCTGAGACTAATGCAAATATGACACAGTGACGTCACAACTATGCTAATTAGGGTATTATGTCATCTAGTGAGATTTTTCCAGCAGGCTTTAGCTACTTTCCATTGAAATTAGTCTTAGATTTCTCTTGTTTTTAATTAGAAAATTGAAAATGCTGTGTGTTAAAATGTGCCTTGAGATAACTTCTGTTGTGAATTGGTGTCTGCACAGACAGACTTTCTCTCAGCTCTGACTGACTCCCAGCGACCGTGATTCTTTTCTGTAAACTCTTCTTCTGTACTTCGAGGCCAGTAACTGATATTTGACTAACGAGCGCACACACACAACACACGTGGACAAAAGGGGGTAAAGTCTGTCTGAGAGTAAACAACATGTCAAGTCAGCGACCTCTGACAAACCCCGCCCTGACAGGAATCACAGAGGTGACGCTTCACCTGATCCGACCATTGAAATGACTGAAAACACAGTAACACTCTGTCACTGCCTCTGCTGAGATGGAAACATTCACACACACACACACACACACACACACACACATTTAGCACAATGGTGGAAGTCACCCCAGGCAACAGGAGGAGGAGGAAGAGGAAGAGGAGGAGGAGCTTCATCCTCCTCAGCTCCTGATCAGTGTCAGAAACTCGTCGCGGGTTTTTGGATCTTCTCTAAAAACTCCCAACATGGTGCTGGTGACGGTTTTACTGTTCATCTTCTGAACGCCGCGCATCACCATGCACATGTGACTGTGGAGGAGAGAGAGAGAGAGAGAGAGAGAGAGTGTGAAACAAATGATGAGAAAGTGAAGGAAAAGAAGTGAAAAGACAGAAATGTAAAAGAAATTTAAGGAAAGGGAAGAAGAAAGAAACAAGAAAGGGGGGGTGAAGAAAAAGAGGAGATGTAAAAGAAAAGTGGAAGCAAATAAAAGGAGAGGAAATGACATAAATGAAAGTAAAAAAGGGTGAAAAGAGGATGAAAATAAAGTGATGGTAATGAAAGTAAGTGAAGTGGAAAGAAAAGAGGAAGTGAAGAGAAGGAGAATGGAAAATAGAAAGGAAATGAAGTGATACGATGGACGGAATAGAAATGAAGACTGAAGGAAAAGAGGAAGAAAATGAAAGCAAAATGAAAGTAAAGTGATTAAATGAAAGTAAAGAAAAAGGAGGCGAGGAGGGATGAAGGAAAGGAGGTGGAGGACAGAAATGAAGGAGAGGAAAAGAAAGATGGAAGGTATAAAGACTGAAGTGTGTATGAAAACAGATGTTTAGCTTAGTGGACTTCACGTACGTCGCCTCGATGACGACGCCGACCCCGGTGGGCTGCAGGGCCTCAGTGATCGCCACGGCGATCTGTTTGGTCAACCTCTCCTGAACTGTGGACACAGAGACACACGGACGTGAAACAGGTCCGACAGAACCAAGAGCAAGGAAAGAAAAAACACTGAAATCAACAACAAGACGTTTCCTCGGTACCTTGAAGTCGACGGCTGTAGATCTCAACAATCCTGAGGGAGAGAAGAGAGAAGACGTGATGACGCTCAGTGACGCAGGAAGTATTCACATCCTCTACTTCAGTAAAAGTACAAATACCACACAGTGAAAATACTCCTGCAAGTATGATCAGCAAAATGTACTTAAACTATAAAAATGAAAGTACTCAATGCAGAGGAATGACCCCTGTGAGTATTTATATATATATATACTGTATATAAGGAGAGAGAGAGAGTAAACATGTCGTATAATAGTGTAGCATTACATTAGAGTTACACATGCATTAATGAGTAAGGTAGCCTTTTATTTGTGTAAGACTGCACCTAATGATCATCTTTATTATGGATTTAATCTACTGATTATTTTCTTGTTTAATTAATTTAGTGTTTGTTTAATTAATTATTCATTAGTTTATGATTAAAACAGGAAAACTTTAGAGAAGCTGAATCCCTGAAACATTTTTATATAAAAAATATTTATTATTTATTATTATTTATTATTATTTTTAGTTATCTAGACAGTTTTTGATAACTGACTAATCAGCTTATTGATTAATTAATTGACTCTTCTTAGTTTAAAATTTTTACAGTGCATAAAGGTTTTTCACATGTTTCGTAGGTGAAATCTTAATCTGTAAAGTAAATACATCCATCCTTCTACTTTATACTTCTACTCTAGTACAGTAGAAATATATAGTATCAGTATACTCAAAGTAGAAGTACCTCAAATTCATACTTTTCAAATATGGTAAATCATTTTGTGTTTTCTGTATTTCAGCACCGCGCTGATGACAAAGGTGACTGACCTCCCTGACCTCTACTATTTTCTTAAAATGTCAGCTCATGTGACGTCTCATAAACTGAGGTCATTCATAAGGACGTTTCTCAGGAGCACGCCGGCCCAGATCCGAAGGCTGCAACATAAACGTAAAGCTGCTGCAGCGTCTGAACAGAAGGGAAACGGACAGATGTTCAGGAGTGACCTGGTCTTCACCTTCGACCCGTCGCTCTTCTGACTGAGCAAAACCGCTCCGGACGAATTCGACCCCATCCACCTTTAAGAAAATGTCGTGGGCGGCACGAGGAGTGAAACGTAACTGTACGTTCACAAGGGGAAGGCAGACAGTTGTTTTTTTACTGCTGTCGTCTTCAAATGGAAATTTAAAGACAATATATTAATGATTTATTCCATTACTCCAGATGTTGACTGGTTGATGGACACCTGTTAGCTCGATGGACACGATGCATTGTGGGATACTATGAGTCTACTATAAAGGGTATAATATTTCTCACTATGCATTCGTCAAAGGCCAAAGACCAAGGTCACAAAAGGTGACCTCACATAACACGATTTTAGATAGATAGATAGATAGATAGATAGATAGATAGATAGATAGATAGATAGATAGATAGATAGATAGATATATAAATAGATAGATAGATAGATAGATAGATAGATAGATAGATAGATAGATAGATAGATAAATAGATAGATAGATAGATAGATAGATAGATAGATAGATAGATAGATAGATAGATAGATAGACAAAGGATCTCCTTAACCTCTATATTTAGCCATAACTCATGAATTCATATTCATACACTGACTATGACACAATTTAACTCAAATGTCAGAATGATGAAGTGATGACATTTTATATCCAAAGGGTCAAAGGTCAACTTCACTGTGACATCATAATGTTCTGCAGAAACACCTCAGGGAGGGGAGATTGTGACCATATTTCCTGTGTATTTATTTATTTTTTGTTAATGGCCGTTTCCATACACTGAGACAGATGTGTTCACGCCTTGTCAACATCTGGCAAGAGGAAGTGGTTTGAACCATGAGATTTCAAAACGTTTTGATGCATTTACACTTGATTTACTCGATCCACTGAAGACACACGTGGTGACTTAAGCGTAAGTGTAACCGGGGAGTGATATGATGACATGTATGAAACTGGAGTTTAAAGATTTAAAGATCCTTTACAGCGCACAGTATTTCTCCGCTCGCTCTCAGTTTCGAGCAGAACAGAAACCAGATTTTAGAGGTTTTTAATCAGCGCCGTCCAGAAGCGGCAACGGGCTCCAATTCCCAGCAGCCCCAGAGGTTTGTTTTTGTCTTAATGATGTGAATGGTTCAGCCGGTCTCATCACAGTGTGTCACAGTGTGTGTGTCCAGTACTAAGTTAGTAAGGGGTGTTAGTGCGTTAAGCCTGAAGGTATTGGGGTCAGTGGGATCAGATTCTACACTAGTACACACACAAACACACGATTTAATAATCAGCTTAAACACACACTAGCCCTCTCTCTTTCTCTCTCTCTCTCTCTCTCTCACACACACACACACACACACACACACACACACACACACACACAGTCCATCATATTAGAGTAAATTTACTCACCTGGCCAGTTTACTGAGGCCCAGAACTCTCTTGTTGGGGAGGTAACCGATGTGAACCTGCACACAGACACAACATTAGTTAAACCTGTTGTCGCACAGACACCAGGGTTCACATCGTCACCTGTTCCAAATGCCCCCCAAAATAAATCTTGGGGGGGGGGGCTTCACCCACTGTGCACCTAAACTGGCACACCCTACCAGGAACTATTAGAGGCGGAGTCAGGGGACATTTTGAAACAACGACTGAAAACATACCTGTGTAATTTAGCTTTTAATTAGCTTTTTCATGTTTTTTATTTTTATTGATTTATTTATTTATTTCTGTTGTTGTCTGAAATGTTTTCCCTGTTTTAACTCCCTTTCTGTTTTATATTTTATATGTGAAGCCGCCTTCTGGTTTTATGCACCTGAGGTTTGGAACAAATCAGTCAAGCAACTTCTGTTGATAGTTATAAGAAACAGCTGAAAACCTATTTTTATGATCTTGCTTTAAATTAACTATACTTTGCTTTTACTTGACACATTTCTTATTCCTTTTTCACCTGTTCCCTGACTTTAGTCTTTAAGGCAGTGCGTCTCGGGAGAAGAGCGTCATAGATCACACACAAACACCAATATGAAGCGAAGACGTTCATGCACCTTTAAACTTTGTCAAACACCTGCCAATGATCACACTGATTATTGTTGCGAGCTGGAGGGAGGTGGATTAAAGTGGAGGCAGCATTTTACAGCTGCAGTTGGTGGAGGTGGAGCCAGGTTTATCTGCTCTCGTATAATCTATACGAGAGTTTCATATTTCATCATCAAAGCTTTTGAATGTAAAATCTTAAAGCTCCATATTTTACACTTCTCCCGTGTTTTATTTGAAGTGTTGATCCATAACAAGATATATTTGTGGTTTTAAGAATCAAAAATCATCTCAGTGTAGTTTTACATCTCCTCTCTCAGGCTTCTCTCTGGAGCTCTAGTAACAACAGGTCAGTGAGCCAATCAGAAGAGAGGAGGCTCTGAGCCTCTCTTCTGATTGGCTGACTGTTTTCTGAGTGATCCAATAAAAATATAGCAGATTTCAAGTAAAACACTCAGAGAAACCAAATTCTGCAAGGTTGGATGGTGGGTCCAGGTGGGCGGGGCTTGGGGCGTGGCTGAGAGCGGTGACTGCTTTGTTATGACATCACAAAGTTACAGAAGTCCTTACGGCTCATTTTAAGGCTGTGTGCATTTCTCTGTGGACTGAGCGCTTTGATACTTTCACAGTATTAATATAGAACCTAGACCTGCTTTAAAATCAAACAACACATGGACATCTACCTTTGTATAATATGGGAGCTTTAAACCATCAAGAAAATTTAACTATAAGTGTCGAATAAAAGTAGTGGAGTAAAAAGTACAATATTTCCCTGTGAATTCTTGTGAAGTGTAAGTGTAGAGTTATATAGTCATGTAGTCTAGTCCAAGGTTGAAGTCACAGTGTACAAACCTACTGACACACCACTACACAAAATACGAGATAATCGCTGAGGCAGAGTAAGTGACCACACACGTTTTAATACGACACAAACCAAAAAGACGCATGCAGAGCAGGTGGATGAGCAGCAGACGAGAGGAGGACGAGAGGCAGTCATCAGCTGGAGAATCACTGCTGTGGATGGCTGGAGGCTTTTATTCTCTTACACACACACACCACACCACACACACCCAACACACACCACACACACACACCCCCACCACACACATCCACACACACACACACACACACACACATGCACACACACACATATATGTACGTACGCTCCACTCAAATGTCAAATGCAATTTGTTGACAAGACGAGAGAAAGGGCAGCAGCAACGAGCGTGCAAATATCTCTCTTTCTTCCAATTCTTTCTTTTCCTCCGTCTCTGCTGCGGCGGCCTGATATATTGACATCAAACAGACCGATTGTGACAGCTGCTTCTTCACTTATCTGCCCGTGTAATTCACATTTACCGGCACATGCTGCGAGTGACGAAGAAGAAGAAGAAGAAGAAGAAGGAGAAGAAGAAGGAGAAGAAGGAGGGGAGAGCAACTTGTGTAAAATTTCATAGCACTGCAGCCACTTTTAGTTCATAGCTTTTGTTTCAAGGCTGTTTGGCTCACTGCTCTCATCAACCTTGTTTCCAGGCAACAAGGCAGAAACTCGCTGATGAGGAAGTTTTTCCTCAGGAGCCGGTGGAGACCAAATCAAAAGCTAAAAGGAGAGTGGTGGACACGATCACGACCGCACATGAATGTTGTTGTGTCTTTTAGACTTTAAGTCAGGGCTGTCAGCTGGTTGTTGGACTTCTGCCCTCTTGTGGCAAAAAAAATATAAGCTGATGCTTTATTTTGCAGCTCCTGTATTTTGGTCGTGGTACAAAAAACGGTTTTGGTCTCTACGGCTAATTTCCTCCGTCATGACAACTGTTTATATAACTCACCTGTTTACATTTTATTAAGGCTTAAAGTTGAGGGCGTGCCCGAAGTCTCTGCTCCACAGGCCCCACCTTTTTGCCCATTTTTGGATTAGCTGTGAGTTAGAGGCGGAGTCAAACACTGCCAAGATGGTGACGGCGGAGCAGCTCGCTCTGAGCTTCAAAACAGTTCTTCAGAAACCTCACGAAGGCTACGTCCATATTTATTTACAGTCTATTTAGCAGTAATTGGTCCAAGAAAGGCTGATACAAAGTTATTAGTAATCATAAGTTGCTACAGTCATTAACTACCTGCTTGTTATGTTGACGTTTTAGCAGGTAAGTGAAAAATAGTTCATAAACTGACGTCAGTATCCATCAGAGTCATACTGAGTCGCTTTATTTTCACAGGTGCTGCTTGTGGAAATAAGTTAATAATATGTTTCTACGTACAACTGCTGAAATTTCACAGCATGTGAGCGTGTTTTTATTTGTTGATCATCATCAATTTGAAACACAGAAACTGAGGAATTGGTTCAAGCAGTTTGTAACATAAACATCAGTTAAATTAATATTTAAACAAAGGTCTAAGGATGGACTCACACTCTCACTGCCTTTCTTCCAAGTGTATCAAACCAAAGCGACTTCCTCCTCATGACTCGTCGCCCTTTGGTTTGGACTTGAGACTGAACTGAACCCGTGAATGAGATGTTTCAACAGGGAAGACGTGACGCTGAATATGAAACCGAATGACAGATGTGTTTTGAAATGTATTTTCTCTTCATGATACGACACCCTGCAATAAACTGCTCTCAAAACAGTTTATCAAGCAGCCGGTGGCTACCTGCGGAGAGGAGGGGGAGGAGAGGGAGGAAGAGGAGGAGGAGGAGGTCTCTCTCTGCGTGGTGAGTCACTGAGAAACACAACACACAGATAGACAGACAGATGAGAGAGGCTGGTAAGAGGCAACGTGAGGGGAGGGAGGAGGTTCATGAGTATGAATAGCCACCTGATGGACACCACACACACACACACACACACACACACACACACACACTAACACAGGAGGTGTTGTAAGTGTTTGTGTGATTCACTGCTGTCATCAGAGCCCATTTACACCGATGGAAAAGAATCAGCTGCCAGGCCCGATTGTCTTAAACGACATGCACCTGCAGGCGAAGATGGAGGGATAAAGGGAAGCAGAGAGAGAAAAGGCAGAAATAGGGAAGAGGCCAATCAGGCTTTAGTGGAGAGTAATGATGTCAAAGCAGCAGCAGCAGGAGGAGGAGGAGGAGGAGGAGGCCAAAGCAAACGCAGGATAAACAGATCTCAGCTAATCTGATTGTTTCTCATGTTCTCTGTCTCTGTTGTTCAGACCCGCGGCCTCCAGATAAACGACACAGAGACAGATACACATCTCTTACCATGTTTTTACCATTTCTTGGATTCAATTATGAACATCTGCAGCTTCCTCTGCAGCTCGGGACGAACCTGAAGACAAGATGAAATCCACAAAGACCGCGCCAAGATGGTTTCCACCAACTTACACAGACTTTTTAGTCTGACTTAGAACGGAGACGAAAATTGTCTTTGTTTAACCAAAACCATAAGAGCCGCACGAGAACAGGTGACATGTAAAACGAGTCACATTCAGAACAGATGTGGCAACAAGATATCACTGAAACTAGAGTTTAGAGAAGCGTATGTCACGGTACACAAGATGAAACACGGAAACACATAAAATAAATAGACGACCCGCGAGAACGCCAACTGTCCGGTACCAAAACAAACATGGACACCAACCAGTGGCTTGTACTGTACCTTTCACCTGAGGTAGCTGTCTGTGTGTGTGTGCGTGTGTGTGTGTGCGCGTGCTTCTCTCACCCTGCCGAAGATGGGCACCAAGTGATGTTCACACATGGAGAACATGTCGATGTCTTTGACGATCACCATCTCGTCGTGGTCTTCGTCGAAGATGGCGTCGTTCAGCACGTCTGCGGGGAAAAAAAACGGAGGTAAAATGAAATTTAAAAAAGAAGAAAAACACGGGAACAAGCTTTTTTAATCTTATATTTCTTTATTTACATACTTGGCTACCACCATAACTCTCTCATGTAATCTTTAAATACTACATTAATTTATTTATTTCATCTACCCAGAATTAGCTTTTGTATGAATTTATTGATTAATTATGAATGAATGAATCCAGTTTGGCTCATGCAATTTTAAATAGATTACTTAAAATACCTAAAAATATTTGTTTATGTTCTGTATTTTGTTGTTTTATGTCCTTTTCCAGAGGATTTTTTCATGTGTATAAAAACCATGCTGCATCACTTCCTCTACCCTGGAGGACAGACGGACGGAGACGGACTCCACCCACACAGCCGTGTCACAGGTTCACCGCGGCCGAGTCTCTTTATCGTGGACTCCTCCGGTGTTTCTCTCCAGCAAACACCGACGTCTAATTATAGCTCTGCTCCCATACGCTCCTTCCTGTTGTTGCTTTATTGCATTTTTCGGTTGCCAGGGGTTCAATAAACTGCTTTATCTGTTTGTGACGACGCAGACGCCTCTCGCTCTCACCGCGGCACTTTTTAATTTCCTGACTCGCTATCTGTTAGAGGAGGGAGGAGGGAACGATGGAGGGGAGGGGGGGGGGCGAGGTCACCGGAACAACAGAGAACAGGCTGACTTGTTGCTTCAGTCTCTGCTGTTTATTGTATGAAAGTGTGTGTGTGTGTGTGTGTGTGTAGACAAGGCAGCAGGTAGTTTGTGTTTGAAGCAGGTTGGGAAAAACATTCAGACGCTCTTTAAGTCTCTTTTTTTATTTGTCTGACTGTGACGCAGTTTGAACAACAAAGCCGTGGCGTCTTTCATCGTGATGATTTTTATTCTTGTTCATATTTTCTGCAGAAACCATCATGTCTGAATTGGTTTTTGACGATATTCAGGGTTAACACGGATCAATATTCATTCATTCACTGTAACTGTGGCTGTGACACAACCAGGAAACAACAGCGTTACCCTGGTAAACAATAAATGTCGGCTCTCATCCAACACGTCGTTGTTGTGACAAACTTTAGAAGTGGTTTTTGAAAGGAACGATCCTCTTTACTTCATTTGACACATTTCAAGTTGTAACATAAACCTGCAGTAAATGCACAATTAGCCTAATTCTGTGATGTCACCCACAGACTCAAAGACTGGAGAAGCAACAGGGTGAAACTCTGAACACGTCCTGGTGCCTCCCACTGATGGTCGGAGATGCAGAGGGGAAACAGTGAGCACGATACGAAGCGGATGAGAAAGATCTGTGTAAATCTGCTCTGACATGTCGGAGCAACAACGTACGACACGAGGATTTTATTCCTTCAGGACACAGAAGCACAGAGATGCTTTTTCAGTCCAAGAGACATCATCCATGCTAGCAGCGCTTTGAGCTACACGCATGCTAACATGTTTACAGCGACAATGCTAAAAATGTATCAAACAGAGGAAAATCAAATACACCAGAGTCAGCAGGATTCATCCTCTGGGGACCATGAATGTCTGAACAAAACTTCATGACAATCCATCCAATAGGAGTTCAGATATTTCAGTCTGGAGCAAAGCAGTGGACAGACAGACACTGCCAATACCAGAGGCCAATAGCAGTGCCACCAATACGGCTGTTGGCGGCTCTGAAGTCATATATTTTCTAACTCTGCACGTCTACTAGAAGTCAGTTTGTTGGATCTTCACCACAGCTTCTGGACACACTTTGGTTTTAAACCTTATAAACCCACGAACAAGAAAAATGGATCCTGGACACAGTTTGCCTTCAGGTCGATACTATAATAAAGTGGTAATCCTGTTGTGAAAGTTTTGTAATCAAGAACAAAGTTTAAGTGAAAGAGAAACTCTGCTGCTGAAAACCTCAGAGGAAAACTGAAAATAAGTGATATAAATAATACTCTTATAAATAAGGATCATTTGAACCGTAGATGTTCTTGCTTGTTTCGACAAATTAACTATTAGCAGTTCCTGTTTGCAGCGAGCTCATAGCTGTACAGACAACTATCACTGGATTATTTTAACACTAAAGAAAAATGTGATGATTCTCAGTTCTGCAGCTATAAAGAGCATCTTTTATCTATGATTTATGGAGGCATATTCATGATGGACTTCAGAGATAATGATGTCCTCGTTAAGGTTGGGTCACGCTGGATATAAAAATATGCGTCAGTTACACGGCATTAAAACCCTGAACCTGATCGTCTGACTGCTCGTCCTGTGGGACAACAAACTGTGGGTCCTCTGTTGTAGCAATGTTTCCTACACACACACACACACACACACACCCCCTGAAGGAAAATAACATTAAATCAACCTTAAGTAAATAAAGGGCAGCAGGTGAGAACGGTCGGCTTGGATGCCCTGGGTGTCAGATAATGACAGTGTTACTCATCATCAGCTCTACGTTCAATAGTGCTGCCTCTTCTTTGTGTGTGTGTCTGTGAGAGTGAGTGAATGAATGAATAACACACACACACACACACACACACACACACACACACACAGTGAAGAGGCCACATGTTGACATGTTCTGAATGAAGCAGGAAACAATGCAGTGAATGACTACATGAACAAGGTTATTCATTTATTATTCAGACAGCCAGATATGTGTGTGTGTGTGTGTGTGTGTGTGTGTGGTTAGGGTTAGTCTTAACCCGGGGCATGTAATCATGAGTCAGCCCTGTACGTCCCTGTCTTAAAATACACACAACTTGTGTTTGAGCGACATTTATAACGCACAGTTTATTTCCCGCTTTCGCATCCTATAATATTCAGTCTTCGTGATGTTTTCACATCTGCTGAGTCTCAGGAAATTGTGTTTCTATTAATGCAAAAGGACGTTTATTGACTTGAATCTGACGACTCCCTGACGCTCTGCGCTGCCTTTTGGTTGGAGGCTACAAAAAAAAAAATTTTTATGTTGTTGTTGTTGCCGGGCAACCACACAGTCATCTGGCAATCAGCTGTCAGGCCTTCAAACAGGTGTTGGGTATTGTTGTAGGTAATGTCACGTTAGTGGAGTTGTTACAAATGACTGTGATGATACGTTTTTATGTTAAAAGTCTAATTACAACTTACAACTTTTTCTCTTCTGTCGTCGTTTCTGTCAGTAATGATGAAGCTGCACGCATCGAGTCGGCTGCTGAGAGGAGGTCAGTCAGGTTTTAAACAAACCTCCAGCTCAGACAAATTTATTTGGAGGAAAAAATTATTACTCGTTATGATCAACTAATTGTTTTGTCTATAAAATATCAAAAAGTGGTAAAAAAAAAACATCCAAGCTGACATCTTGTCTTCCGAAATCAAATATATTCAGTCAAAAATATCCAGTTTATAAATCCTCACATCTGAGAAGCTGAATTTACAGAATATTTTGTAGTTTTTGTTTAAAAATGAGTAAAATGATTGATCGTTTTTAACATTGTTTAAACACTTTTCTTTTTTTGGTCACGTGACTAATCAGGTAATCAATCCAGCTGTAAAGGCTAATACAATACCAGCCTGCTAATACTCATCACAGGGACGCTGTAGTTGTTGAGAGAGTTTAATCTGAGCAAAGTGGAGGATTAAAGAAATGAAAGAAACTCTCTTGCTTCAGTCCTCAGAGTGGAGAGTACTGCGGTGAAGTACACACAGTTAACTTAAGGCAAGTGTAGAGTGTATGACTGTACTCAACCTCAGGAGAGAAGTCGGCTACAGGTCCTGCTGTGAGAAACATCTGATGAAGAAATTCAGAACTTATTTGGACTCATTTTGGAAACTACGGCTCAGATGTGAGGTTACATGTGTTGAACACAGATTTAAAGAGAAACAAGTGCTACTGAGAGTCATTCTAATCAACCACTTAATAATATAATACACAAAATCAAATATTCGTTGAAGTAAATTTTCAAATAAACATGATAAAAATTTTGTGGTTCCAGCTTCTCAAAAGCAAAAAGATTTGCAGCCGTTTTCTATGAAAGTAATGTCGATACATCAACTTGCATTGAAATTGTGACCTTTTATAGATAATTCACAAACTTATTGATAGTGAAAATCTTGTCTTTGTTGCATCCCTAATTCAGACGATTATCTTTATTAATTAGAGGCTCAAACTAAACTGAGTGACTTTCTCGTTTCTTTAGTTGGCCTCATGTAACAGCTCAGGATTCCTGTTTAATCTCTGCAGAACTTTTCCTCTTTACTGTTTTGTTGGTCATGTGCTCGACAACAAGAGGATTTCAGGCTCATGTTGTGATGAAAGCTGAACCTGTGACCTGCACACACACACACACACACACACACACACACACACACTGATCAAACAGTGCGTCACTTCTCTCAAAAAGCTACAACTCTCCAGACTTCCAGCTTCAGTCCGAAACCTACATGTTTTTCTGCTTTCCAACAAGTCAAAGGGGGAGGCTCCTGCAGCAGCCAATCAGCAGACAGACAGAGCTCCGCCGCTGCCTAAAGAACAACACACACATACACCATCCCTATCTGTATCATCCACTGTTGTCCACCCTCTGCTGTTCAGAGGAGCTTCTGTAGATGAAAGCTTGCTGCGGCCAACACGTTCAAAAAACACGATCCACCATCTTTGCACCGGGTGCCCCCTCATTCTTCCCTCGCTCCACTGCATTCCTTCCTTTAACATTACAGCTTCATAACACACATAACACCCCCCCCCCCTCACCTAAACAACAGCCAAACTACCTCCAGATGGAGTCAGAGGCGAGGGGGCAGATCCCCCAACTCCAGCCACTCCCAGCGAGCCACAGCGTGGAGAAGCCGGCCCGTGTGGACCTGACTCTGCGAATCACCCCGCATCCAGATGCCTTTTTACTCCCTCTCATTGCACGTGATTCAGCAAATCCTCTCTGGGAGCGACTCCGGAGCAACAGGCCGGCCGGTTTGTCCGGATCAAACATGAGGCCTGGGACTGGCGGAGATATAAATCTTACAGACAGATCTGCAGCTTTTGAAGAGTCGAGGAGCTGCTTTTGTCGCCCGCGGGGTCTCATAACAACACAGCTCTGACTGGCCGTATCAATCTCAATTTCATTTCTTTGACTTTCCCCTTTAAAAACCCTGCTCTGCAAACAAAACAGTGCAACACACGAGAACAGAAGCAGAGCAGGAGACGCACAATGACACTGATGAAAAGCATATTTTTTAAGTTTTTGGAGCAGATGGCAGTGGTTTGTCCAGAGAGCTGGTTTCACTGTGGGCCGTCTGATCAGAACAACATGTTAACCCCTTCATTTCTGCTGCGTCACTTTGCAGTTAAGTTTGTTGTTAAAGGATCCCAAAGTTTCCAAATATGAGAGACATTTCCATCTGTATTTTGACGAGAATTGAGAAAAGACAAGGGCTGCAACTAATGATTAATCTGGAGATCACTTCTTTGATGAGTCAGTTAGTACAAAATGTGACTCGTTTTGTCCAAAACTGAAAAAATAATGAGTTTCCAACACAACCACAAAACTAAGTGACTTAATCAATTGATCCAATCATCCAAATTCTTCAGATCCACTCACTGATTCATCGTTCCAGCTCCACACAGGAAAACTAGAATATTTACATTTGATGAAACAGTGGAGCGATGAAAGACAGAAGATGTTGGGTTTGAATATCTCCTTCATTTGTGATGTAACTGACGGACTGCAGAGAAAATATCACGTCTCTGTAAGAGCTGATGAACCTGAAGTGGAAATGTAGAAGGTTTAATGTGTAAAATCCACTCAGATGTTCATGTGCAATGATTTTAATTTGAAAGGAAATATTTCAAAATAAAAGGTCTGTTTTGCAACATCTGTTTTGCACTTTGTGTTTGTTTTACTCATGTCTGTTTTAAACAGGATTATGGCTCCAACTAAAAACAACAGGTCACTTCAAATGTGGTGGTGGAAAGTAACTAAGTACATTTACTCAAATACTGTACTTGAGTACTTCAGTGTAACGTCACTTTATACTTCTACTCCACCACATGTTGGAGTAAACGACTGAACGTTTTCTCCACAGCACTCTGCAGATTAAGATCTTTAAAACCCGTAAATGATAAAGTGAATTAAACAACATCGTTAAATTAGATCTGACGTTAAAGCATCCATTATAATAATTCAGTTTTGCAACATATTACACCGCCAGGGGCTTTTCCGTCTGCACACGAGTACATTTACTTTTGACATTTTATGTACATTTGACTGGCAGTACTTTTCTCACTCAATAAAAAGGTTGAATTCAAGACTTTTACTGGTGAAGGAGAATTTTTCCACTAATTTTACTTCAGTAAACAGCTGGAATATTTCTCCCAGAGCTGAAATATAATAATATAATAAATAAATAATATACAGAAGCTTCAGTTTTTCAGTTTCCTGTGTCAATTTAAAGAGGATAATAGTTCAGCCTCTGGTTGAGCACGTGTGTCTCACCCAGGTCGTTATTTACTTTTTTTTATTAAACTGTGAGACGTGTCATGATCATCAGTGAGCAGCAGGAAAACCCAGAACTCCTGTTTGATCATTTAATTAATGAATCAGTTTAAATCAACCCTCTGACAGTGATGGTTTTTTTTTTTTTACATTTTTACTTAATTAAAAGTAACAAAACTAAAATATAAAAACTTAAAGTAAAAATACAAAGCCAAAGTTCTGCATTCAAAATCTTACATAAGTAAAAATACCTAAGCAAACATGCACCATGCAGAATGGCATCTCAATTTTAAATGTTTGTGTACTATAGTATTGTCTGATTATTACTGATCGATTACTGAATAAGCAGCATTTACATGTTGCAGATGGTGAAGATGGAGCTAATCTAACTGTTTGATAGGTTGTTGAGTGATAATATTTTGTATGTTATAAGCTTATCACTTGTTTCACTATGTAAACTTTTAATGTGCAGAGTAATGGAAGCTGCCAGATGAATGTAATAGAATCATGAATAATATTATGAACTGAAATGCAGTGAAATGTAACTATAAAGTCCCTATAAGATGAGTAGCTGTAAACTGAAGCACTTGAGTGCATAGCTTTGGTCCATCCCACCGCTGACCTCTGATCAGCAGGTCCAGAGTCTGATCTGCTCTCACAAAGTAAAAAAAAAAAAAGCAGGATCAGCTGTTTTCTGAGGGTCCAGTGAGTTTTGGAGGAGTTCACTCTCCTCTGTCAGACCTGCCACCTGTTGAACACCGGACAAATCCCAGCCGCCTCTGAGCGGCTTTGAGGATTTACAAACTCACCTATAATTTTCTCCTGGTAGCCCTTGGTGAAGAACTGCATGGCGGTGGCGGCCCTCCAGGGGGTTTTGAGGAGCCCCTGCCTCTGCGGGTCTTCCCCGAGCCCCCGCAGGATGGTGGTGTAGGCGGCGGCCAGGGCCGGCAGGCTCATCTCGTTGTCCTCCACGCTCCTGGTGCGCTCGTCCTTCCAGCTCTCCATCACCGAGGTGGCGGGTCGGTGCGAGCCGGACTCCGCGCCCGGAGCCTGGGGAGCGCCGGTGCGCCCGGTGCCGCCGGCTGGCCGCTTCACCATCCCGTCAAAGAGTCCGTTGAGCACGGAGCCGCTGTCCCCGGTGTCTTTCTTCTCTCCTGAGCCGTACGGAGTCTGTTTGGACTGATCCATCACTTCTTCTTCTCAGCTGAGCACTTGTTGGATCAGGTTCTCTGGAGGCTCACTGGCGCTTCTTGTTGCTCCTCTCGCAGCCTCAGCATCCTCGGGCTTTATAAGAGCGGGATAATCCAGGGAGAGCTCCTATTGGCTGTCCGGCTCCAGAGGGAGGGCTCACCTCCCCTTTGACTCACACATGGACCGTGAAGATGAAGATGAAGATCTGGAGGGAATCCCAACCACCGCGCCCTCTCAGTCAGTATCCTGTTGGCAGATACGCTCTCCCATCAGCAGTAAACTGTGAGAATAAAAACTGTAAAATGAAGCTCACTAAACTTTATGAGAGAATAACAACCTCCCTGCTCCACAGCGCGTGTTGGGCAAGATAATATCTGAATATCATCATCAATGAGGAACTCGTTTCATTTCTTAACCTCATATTATTCTTCACTCACGCTGTTTTTTGAGTTTTTATTTTTTAGAGCTGAATCAAATGTCTTACTTTTGCTTTAGATAAAGTGTGGACCTTTCACTGTTATTATCATCATTAGTTTTGCTGTTGTTTGTATTTTTGTTATTTTCTCGTTTCCTTTTTTTTTTTCTCTGATTTTAATTTACATTGTAATTTCACTTCAGTAAAGAGCTGGAATATTTCTCCCAGGGCTGAAATATAATAATATAATAAATAAATAATATACAGAAGCTTCAGTTTTTCAGTTTCCTGTGTCAATTTAAAGAGGATAATTGTTCAGCCTCTGGTTGAGCACGTGTGTCTCACCCAGGTCGTTATTTACTTTTTTTTTATTAAACTGTGAGACGTGTCATGATCACAAGTGAACAGCGGGAAAACCCAGAACTCCTGTTTGATCAGTTAATTAAACAGTTTAAATCAACCCTCTGACAGTGATGGTTTTTTATTTTTTTACATTTGAGTAAAAGTAACAAAACTAAAATATAAAAACTTAAAGTAAGAATACAAACCCAATTAGCCAAAGCTGATAAATAGAAATTAAATGGTATTTTTTTTTCCACTTTTGTGTCTGTACTTTGTGATTTGAACTAAACAGCAAACGTGAGCGTGGGCCAACATTTTACTTTAGACAAATACTAAGTTTAATGCTCGTCTCATGTTGATATATTTGCCAATCCATTTTGAATAAACTTTACTGGAATTGTCAGTGAACAAATAAGAGCAGGGTTGAAAGCTTATGTTCAGTGTGAGCAGCAAAGTTCTGGTTCTGGTTGTGTAGAGATGCTGATGAACATGTGTAGTGAGAGTTAACATACAAGAACTCACATTTAAATTTATTTAAACATTAAAATACAGTAAAAAGGGTTTTAAGAAATGTTATGAGTGTAATAAACCAGGAAACCAAACCCAGCAGCTCTGAGGACGTTTTCAGGGCTTTAAATGTTCTGATTAAGTGCCTCAAAACAAAACATGTCAGTGATCAGCTTCCACCGATTTCACAAATCAATCAATCTGAGCAAAACAAACAAACAAACAAACAAAAAACTATTAAAATGTTTAGTTTTTGTTAAATGCAAATGCTGAAAGCTTAGAGGAGGGATCCAAAGATTTTTTCTTCTTGGCGCTATTTTCATCCACTTTAGTTTGTCCATTTTCATTTTCTCCATCTCCTCCTCCTCCTCTTTTCCTCTTCTTTAGATCTGCTGCATCTCCAGTTTGGCCTTTTGCTCTGTTTGTCCATGACTGAAAAAAAAAGGACATAAATGCACATGTTAATTACTGCACAGGACAAAACAAAATGATATTGTTCTCCTGTCTCTATCCAGGCTCCAAACACCTACGTGACGATGACTAAACGCACACGTGGACACTCAGGCGTGCGTCTGAAATTGCATCCTGTCATGTATAATCACTATTGACAGGCTGCATCTCTTTGGCCTGCTGGCTCTTTTCCTCCTCCTGCTTTTATTATTTCTCTCTCTCTCTCCAGCCGAGACAAAAGGAAGCGCTTTACTGAGCGTAATGGAGCCGGGATGAATCATCAGGCCTGGTGAGTGGAGTGGCAGCAGCACAGGCCCCACACACACACACACACACACACACACAACTCTTCACCTCCAGCACCCCATGAAGCACTGCCATTAACCCAACACGTATCAAACACACACACACACACACACACACACACACACACACACACACACACACACACGCATTAGAGAGCTGGTAGATGGTTCAAGCTGTGACGTCCTGCTGTTCAACTGTCATTTTATTGTATTTGGACAGAATAATGTCATTAGGAGAAACTCTCTGACACTCGTGCGCACGCACACGCGCACACTCACACACACTCTCACACACACACACACATACACACACGCGCACACACAAGGTTTCAAGTCAAACGTGCTCCTGCAGGTTTTTAATAATCTGCTCAACACGAGTCAAAAGCTTCAGCTGTGATTGAATTTCACTTGAATTTTATGGATAATTTACAAAAGGCTGCAGGTGAAGACTCAGATAGAAGAATTAGTGATGAATCAATCGCTCAGTTAATCAATTAATGGACAGAAAATTAGTCAACAGCTGATGAATAGTTGAGATCATTCATCAAACTGAAAAACATTCTCAGGTTTTCTCATGTGAGGATTTGCTGCTTTCCTCTGTTTGATATAATTATGGCTGCAACTCATGATTACTTTAATGAGTGATTATTATATAATAGATAGATATATATATATATAGATAATTGATTATTCATTTTGTCTATGAAACATCAGAACGTCGCCTGTTAGAGTTTCACAGTGACGTCTTCAGATGGAAACAGCAGATGCTTGAAATTAATTCTCGGAAAATGAAAAAAAAAAAACAACCATCTAAAAAACCTCGCAACATGCACGGCAATTTTTAGAAAAGCTGCCGCGAAATCAGGTATTTTAGACGCAACGATCCCAAAAAACGTCGACCCGTCCACCACAGAGAGGGTCGGTAATGAGACTGACAGCGACCCACTGATATGGTGTCCCACTGGGATTTGTCCCGGTGCGCCCGGATTACGGCCAGTCCGAGCTCCTGGGTGTGTGTGTGTGTGTGTGTGTGTGTGTGTGTGTGTGTGTGTGTGTAGGACACCAGCAGTCATCAAATATTAAAAAAGGTAATAAAAACTCAAACTTAATGTTAGCTTGTTAAATCTACCTTTCTCTCTCTTCTTTCTTATTCTCTTCTCCTCTCTCTCTCTCTCTCTCTCTCTCCTCAGCCGGGTGTCCCCCCGCTTCCTGTATCTGTCATTTCAAATTAAAATCCCTCTGCAGAGTCGCGTAGTTCTCACTTAATTATATTGCAGCAGTGGTGATAATTTTGCAGCGGCCTTGAATGTTTCTCAAAGTGATGAAAAATCAAAAAAGGCAAATGACACTGAAACCGTCCTTTAAAATAACTGAAAACTGTATCGTTATAATCATTCAGTGGCAGACTGACCCACTCACTGTCCCTCACACAGGATTATCATAAGATCAATGCTCTGTGCCCTCACTGCTAAAACACTCTCCACAGGTTCCCCAGGCAACAGCCCCCCCCCCACTTCCTCTTTTCTTTCTGTCTGTCGAGTGTCATCCAGCCTCTGCTGAGAGTCTTGATGAATGCAGGGTCAGGAGCAGGCGACTACACAAACCCACAGACTGACATCTTGCAGCACTCGGGTGGATGAAAGGATCACGTGTGTCATTACTGACACGACCGCCCTGGTTTATTCAGCCATCGACCCACCACAGCTGACGTCATGTGTTCATGAGTGGGGGACGTGACATTTTAGTGAAAATTGGTTTTTAAAATCTGGATTATTTTTATTTTTTTTGTGAAAATCAGTGGAAACCAAAAACTATGTGACAGAGCTGGACTCTGTGGACGGTTGGGGTGCTGAGGGGTGTGCAGCACCTCTACCTATTAGACAACAGTTTACTGAACAGATGTTGAACCGAGATAGTGACATACAGTTGTATCTAAGTGCAGCGTGTAGAGAATTCATTTTTGTGGAGTGCAAAGACGACCGGTGCGTCTACGAGCTGCGCAGCGAGGACGGGGTTAATGGATCTGCATCTGATGATCACTGCTGACTCACACCGTCTAATTGTTGGGTTTCACTGGTCAATTAGCTCTTCAGGGCAAACGAGATCGAGGCAGAATGAACTGAAAACGGCTCATTTTTAGAGACAAAATAAAAAAAAAAAAAAAAAAAAAAAAAAAAAAGATGGTGCGATGTCACACGCTACTATTTCACTCTTTGCCAAGATGAACGGCGCATGTGAACGAAAATGCAAGTGGAGTCAGCAGTGGAAGTTGTTTAAGGATTCGCTTTAGGTTAAATTTTATGTTTATACTAATGACACAACATGTGACCACTGCAGCCATTATGAGCCTTAAAATATTACAATTACACGTGTTTAAAGCTGTGCATCGTACCAGCCGCTCGTCTGCTGACAGCGTCCTGAATCGCCCCATGGCCTCTTTGATGACATCGGTCTCCTCCAGGTCAGGCTGGTCGGCTAGGATGCTCTTCCTGTTCTCCTCCAGCCACAGCTGGAAGCCCGTCTTCGGCCTGAACAGACACAGTCAACGACACAACCGAGTCAGGAAATGTTTCTTTTTAAAAAAAAACCTAGTCTGCACGAGGAGTCTCCGCAGTTTCAAAAGGTCGGGTTCTACCTCTTGTTTTCAGCGCTCTCAGCTGGTGAAGCCGGAGGCGGGACTTCTGGTTGTTTCTGCTGCTCTGCCGCCGGCTCCGTGTTCTCCTCAGTCTTCTTATTGGCTGCTTTTGTGGCGGTCATCTGCAGCAGCGTGGACTGAGTCTGGAGAGGGACGGGGAAATTATTATTAATGAGTAAATATTAACTTAGCAACTTATTTTACAGATGCATTTGATGTTTGTGATCGTTTACAGTTATGTGACATCAGAAATAAAGTACAGTGATGTGGTGACCTCAAGATGGTATTTAATTTGTGTCTATGTTGTGACGCATTTTTGAGCTCGGAGAGGTTTGTTGATATCGGTACCTTCGCCTTGGCCCTGGGGGCCAGAGGTTTGAGGACGGGACTTTTGTTTGGTTTCCCTGCAGCTCCGCTGTGTGGAGCCGACTTCCTGCTGGACGTCATGTTGTCCAGGATGTTTGTGACTCGAGGCTGACCAGACGGAGTCGACGCTTTCCCAGATACCTGAAAATATCCCGTTTAAACTTTTAACAGCGTTCCAGTTAATAGTCTCCATTCACATCTAATAATCAGAGGAAAAGCTG